CAAATCCCAAATACTAGTAATTTGGGATTTTGGCATCCCAAATCCCAAATGATTTGGGATTTGGGCAACACGTATAACCTCACATCTCTTTAAATTGGTAATAATCAACAAAAAAATAATATAAACTGTTCACTAGCAAGCTTATGTCCAGGTTAATATAGTTAACTTTTTTATTATATATATTATCCCAACAATAAGCAAAATGAATTGGCTAGCAGGACATAAGATAAAGTTTATACTGTTATCACAATTTTAATTCTACACTGTTCATATTTAATAAAATAGGATCCAGTTTTATATCTGCCTTTTATACTATAATCTTCACAATGATCTAACTTGCATAGTGGACATAAAAATTCATCAGTAGTTCCATAATAATCATTGTTTCCATCTCTACCTTTCCAATATAAATCAGAATATCGTTCTGTCATTTTATTATGGAAATAAGTACAATCATGTATAGTATTTACCTTAGTTAAATCTTTTGAATTTGTTTCACCATTTTCAATAAAGGATTTCTCTCTTTGTCTCCATCCTCATCATCATTATTATTGCTAATATTCTCATCAAATACACTTACCTATATTTTGATTCTTGAAAATTCTAAATCTTGATCATTTTCTGGAGATGGTTTATTATTAGATAAAATAGGGGATTGAGATTCAATAGATATATTTACTTCTGTTTTATTAACTTTTTCGTTTACCTCAGTTTCCTTCAAAATTTTTTTGTTTAGTGAAATATTTGAGTTAGAAGTCTGTTCGTTAACATAATTTATGATGTTTTGGATTTGTATATAAGAAAGGTTAGAAATTATATTTGCACTATATAAAACTTGTTTAATTTTTTCTATTCCTACTACACTAAAAAGTGTTCTAATTTTTCTAGCTTTAAGAATTATATGTCGTAAATTCACATTTGTGATATCAGATAGAAACTGTTTAATTTTGTGATATAATAAACTGGTTACCTTTTTCTTATCGACCTTGTTACTAACAGAAACTTCACCTATTCTTTTGCCACATTTTCCAGCAAAGTGATGCCAATATAATATTACATCTTGCCCTGACCAAATTGCTTTTTGAAATATACATACTATGGTCTGCACTAAAACTGGAAACAAATCATTGATAGAAATGTCAATATCTTGTATTGAGTCTTCATCTAACATAGCTGAATTATTATCTCCAGTAGTTACAGTAATCTATTACTATAATTCTTGTTTCACAACTAGATTTGTTAGTGGTTTATCAAGAAAATCTATAAGTTTGGTATTTTGTTCAGAGATTTTATCACTAGATATATCTGAAATTTCGGCAGAAGATTTTTCGTGATTTTTAGTAACGGAAATTTTGTCAAAAGATTTTTTGTGATTTTTAGTAACGGAAATTTTGTCAGAAGATTTTTTGCTATTTTTACTAACGGAAATTTGATCAGAAGTTTTTGAAAAAGTGTTATTTGGAGATAAGTCTTGGACTTGGAATTTTTTCTCACTATTTCTTTCTCTTATCATATTATTAACAGTTTTCTTATTTTCTAGTTCCAGAAATTCATTCATTTCTTTCTCTTCCGATGATAATAAAGTTCCTATAGGAATAGGAGATGTAAAAGATCGACTATACTTTTTCCGGTATGGATCAGAATCGGGTGTGTTGTTGATTTATTTTCTATTCGTTCAGAAGCAATATCAGAATTTGAAGTATTATCAGATATATTAGATACCGGAGTATCATTAGAATTTTTCATTTTGGTAGAGATGGTATTAGATACAGAGTATCCTGCTTCACAGACTGAAGATTGATCGATCCCCTTGGCATCATCATCTAATTTAACAATAAAGTTGTTCTTTTTGTCAGTTTGTGATTGCTTCTGTTCTAATTTCGCAACTCTAGTTTTAAGCTCAGCATTTTCAACAGCAGTATCTTTATCGTTTTGCTCCAGTTTCGCAAATCTGAATTCATGTTCTTCCAAAGCTTGTTTTAATTTTATTTTCTCAGCTTTAAGTTCATTGTTCTCAGCCTCAACTTCGGAAAATCTTTTTCTAAGTTCAGGAATTCCAGCATTCTCTTTTCTAAGTTCAGTAATCTTGGATGAACAAGCATAGAGTTTAATTCTCTCAAGGTATTGATTGTTAATTGATCGTTCGACATTGTTTTATTACAAAATAGAATATATTCAAAAGCTTAATCACACAAAAAAATATTTTTATAAATCGAATTAACACGCCTTTGCTTTATTGATTGTAATAAAATCAAAATCTATTTATTGTTTCTATACTACACTAAGTTTTCTGCCTATAAGAATTAACAATCCTGCATTATTGTTATACATTAGAGAGAGAACTCGTTGACATTTATGTTGCCTGCCTCCTGCGAAGCTAATAAATTTCTCAGAAATCTTTACAAAGGAATAGTTATTAGTTTGTAAGTCAAGTTGATTCATTGAAATGCATTGTCACAACAGAAATATTCATACGTGTTCTGAGCTTTTGCAAAAATAAATTATTGATCATTATTTCTTTTTTTAAATCTGTTTGAAACCAGTATGCA